GGCATGTACCTTGGTTGCGGGCACATCCCCAGTGGGAGATGTGCAGGAGGCAGCTGATCGATGTTTCTCTCTCATCGATGTTTCTAACTCTCTGTCTCTCTCCTGTCCTCTCTGTAAAAAATCAATAAAATATATTTAAAAAAAAAAAAGAATAATCAAGGACAACTTACTACACATTTTATCCTTCATCACAATTATCTGCATATTTTTATCTTATTAGAAAATAAATGCCTTGAAAGGAAGGATCACATCTTTTAACAACTGTACTTTGCATATAGTGAGGGTGCAATTTGATAATGTTTTGAATAGAATCCCCATTATCTTAACCCTGGTTTCACATTAATATTTTCTCAAGGAAAGTGATATACTATTTTATGGTATTGATACAGAAATCTTAATAATTTGAAAAGTCCCAAACCCTACTACCATCCAATGATTTATACGTAAAACCAAACCCAAAACCAGTTCTGTAATTCAGAAAGCTTGGTTTATGTTTTAAGTTCCAAAGACAGATTTTATAAATGATACTAAATTGTCCACATCCTTATTCCTAATGCTTTATTTAGAAAGTGAAAGTTAGCAACATGTTGATTTCTAAAAGAAAAAACTAAGCCTAAGACAATCAGAATAAACTAGAGATTCCATTTTCACCAAATAAGGATACAAGATTAAGCAATGGGTCATTTCATCTTTAACAGCCAAACCAAACCAGAAAACTTTAAGCTAGCAGACATACAAATATGAGAACAAAAACTCTCTGAAGGCAATCTACAAGTACTTACAGAGCTGCAGCACCAGAGATGATTTCAATCAACTCCTTTGTGATGACAGCTTGGCGGGTGCGGTTGAAGGTCAAAGTCAATTTGTCAATCATTTCAGCTACACGCAAAACAAAAAGATTAGACAACAAAATCTAAAAACTAGAAAGGAATAACTGCATTAATTTATTCATAGATATATGTTGTTTAATTTATCCATAAGATTTTGGGAAGGTTTTTTTGGTTTTTGTTTTTTGTTTTTTTGGGGGGGGAGGGGTGGTCTGGACCAAAATTGGCCCCCCCAAAATTTCAAGGTGTTTTTAAATCTTTCATGGGATCCCTTTTCCAAGTATTTGCAAACTTAATGTCTACCAAGTAAGATATACTTCCTTCAAGGCAAAGAGTATTCTATCTTTTCAGATAAGAAGGAGATAAATATTTGGTCAAAAACTTCACAAAACCAGTAGTAGAGCCCAGGACTAGGTCCTAGCTAGCTCTCTTGTTTCCTGATTTACTTAAAGAATGGTCATGTTTTTGATATTAGGGTCATCATGCTACTCTGCAGCAAAATTTTCTCAGAAAACTACTGTGTGCTTACAAGCATTCTTGCTTGCATTGTCCATGGCTGTCATCCTGGCACTTTGCTCACTCGTGGTGGACTCCTTCAGAGAATAGTAGATGATGTTGGCCAGAGTGTATTCCTGATAATTCTGCAGCACGTCAGCATCAATGTCATCATAGATACTCATGCTCTCTGTTAAAACAAGTGATAAATATCTCTGAAGCAATACAGCACAAAGACTAATTTAATCACAGTAGTTTACTATTATAAAAATCCTCTATACTTACAGAGAGGAAATAAGTGTAGGACAGGTCAAAAGACTCAGTTCTAATAGTTTCATCTATTTCCACACTGAAGATTTTCAGCAAAGTGTGTAAACAAAGCACTGGATATTTTTAAAAAATGTTTACTACATTTCATGGTCATGAAGTTGTCATGATAGCATCTGACTGAGCACAAAGCCAGCACACAATAAATGATTTGGTTTTTTTTTCTTTTCCAATAAAGAAATTAAGAACAGAAACTATATAATATAATACAAAAATCTCAATTCAACCTTTTGATTATTGGAGAAATCAGCAAGAGTCAGTCAGGAAAATGAGAGCAGGCAAATGTTTCCAAGAATACGGAACAGTGGGAGAAATAAGAGGCTTATAGAAATTTTAGTAATCATGTTGCAGAAATTTAGCAGCACACTTCAAAATTCATCCATTAGAGGGAAGTGGTGAAATACTGCTGTTTTATCAAACTTAAGATATTACAGATTATAACCCATATTTGATGAAACCATTAAGAAAGAAAACAGCATAGCCTATTAAAAATGACATGCAACTGACTGGGAGAAGCATCCCAATTTCAGAAATATTAAAATGCAAAAAAGTGTACATCTTAGAATAGATGAAACATGTTACACAAAAGGTGAAAATGCCTTAGGAAAATAAGAACAGTTCCAGAATATTGTTTCTACAATGCTCCATTGAACAATGGTGACTTTATTCAAACAATAAAATGAGAATTTACTGGGACAATATAAATAAGTTGTGAACACTGTTCAAATCTCTATTCTAGACTTTCATATTGTACTGGAGTTTGATAGTTTGCATACATAGACTGCAAAGCCAATTTTTATGCCCTAAGGACAGAAAACATATCAAATGACTGCCCTTTGTTGAATTAATTAAGGAACGGAGAAAGAGTTGTCAATGCATGGATTAATGCATCATGGAACCCATTAATAGATGGTGATAGAAACAACCCAACATCATTTTGCTACTGCTGAAACAGGTCATTCTGACATATACTATTTTCCTAAATGAACAAATCTCTCCTTTTATGTGGTAAAATACTTGTCATACGAAAACTACTTACCAGCAGTTGCAATGGTATTAAGAGAGAAGATGGGTTTTTCTTCTGTCTTGTACGAGATGACAGACCTAAAAAGGACAAAAACAAATGAAAATTTCAAAATAACTTTTAAACTGTTAAATATTTACTTATCCTAATATATAAAAACCTAGGGGCCCTAACTGGTTTGGCTCAGTGGACAGAGCGTTGGCCTGCAAACGGAAGGGTCAAAGGTTTGATTCCGGTCAAGGGCATGTACCTTGCTTGCAGGCACATCCCCAGTAGGGAGTGTGCAGGAAGCAGCTGATAGATGTTTCTAACTCTCTATCCTTCTCCCTTCCTATCTGTAAAAAATCAATATAGCTCTCTTTCTTTCCCCCTCCCTCTCAGTAAAAAAATCAAAAAAATATATTTTAAAAAACAAAACAAAACCAAACCCAGGGTCCATAACATCCAGAACGACCGAAGGCTCAAACGACTGGAAGCCAGTCCTGGGTTGTTGTGGCAACCTAGCAATGACTGCCATGCTGCGGGTGCTGCAATCCAACACTGACTGCTGAGGGGGCTGCGGAACAGGCCTGAAGAGAGGTCTGGAGGGAGAAGCAGGGTCTGATCCGTAGCCTCCGTGACAGCTGTTGATCAGCCCTTGCCTCTCTCTTTCTCTTGGGCCCTGACCAGCAGCCGCGCCTCTTTCTCTCAGGCCTCCGCTGGGGCAGCTGATCAGCCTTGCCACTCTAATCAGGCCCATTGATAGGCCTGGAGACGCTGACTGGCATAGAAAATGACCAATCAGAACCAAATCTGGATGAAGTGCGAGGAGCCAATGGCTTCCTAGGAGGCAGAAATTTTGATACTGACTGACACAGAAACCGACCATAACCTAATCTGGGTGAACTGCGAAGGCAGAACCTAAGGTGGGGGCTGAGGAGGGGTTTTAAGGGCAACAGCTGTTTGGTGTAAGGTGTAAGAAAGTGGTTCAATTTTTTAATGATCGATTTGGCAGTATAGTGCATATGGCTGGCTATCAGTATTTTTGTCTGCCAAGAGCATCTCCTCCTGATGAAAAAGGCTCCCCCCCTCCCCCATTTAAGCAATCCTATCCTGTATAATCTATTTATACTAGTAAAAGGGTAATATGCTAATTAGACAGGGTCAACCGGCCATCTTCTGGACGTCCAACTTCCTTCTAGACAAAGCCACAGAGGTGGGGACCAAGGTAGAGGCCGTTAGGGGCGATCAGGCCAGCAGGGGAGGGCCTTTGGGGGTGAGATCAGGCTGGCAGGGAGGGCAGTTGGAGGCGAGATCAGGCCAGCAGAGGAGGGGTGCTGGGGGCGAGATCAGGCCAGCAAAGTAGGGCAGTTGGGTGCAACCAGGCCAGCAGGAGAGGGCAGTTGGAGGCAAGATCAGGCAGGCAGAGGAGGACTGTAGGGGGCAAGATCAGGTCGGCAGGGGAGGATAGTTAGGGGCAATCAGGCCGGCAGGGGAGGGCAGTTAGGGGCAATCAGGCAGGCAGGCGAGCGGTTAGGAGCCAGCGGTCCCAGATTGCGAAAGGGATGTCCGACCACTGGTCGGACATCTTCCAAGGGATCCCCATTTGGAATGGGTGCAGGCTGGGCTGAGGGAACCCCACCCAACCCCCGTGCACGAATTTTGTGCAGCAGGCCACTAGTTTTAAAATATTAACATAAATAACCTTGATTTCTAAAATTTCATAAATAAGCTTTGATTTCTTGCCTGAATCGATTAAAGATGATAGATCCTTCATCAAAATCATATCCAGAATTTAGTAGTTCCAGGGCAATGACTGATGCATCTCCAAAAGTAGGGGGTTTTCTTCCCACTTCTTTGAATGTCACCAGAAACTGGTCAGAATGAGTCCTACAAGAAAATCAAGAGAGCACACTAAGGTATTTTAATGGAATTATTCTTCTAAAAGAACATAGGGAAGAAAGAAGAAATCCCTATGGATCAAGATTTTTGGAGGGTCTGGGGGTGTTCAGTGAATCACGTTGTTCTATACACTACCATGATTATTCCTTTCTCTCAGCACCTACAAAGAGACTATTATCAGGCCTTTCTTGTTTTATTGCTCTATATCCGTGGTCAGCAAACTGCGGCTTGCGAGCCACATGTGGCTCTTTGGCCCCTTGAGTGTGACTCTTCCTAAGCCTTAGGAGTACCCTAATTAAGTTAATAACAATGTACCTACCTATTAATTAAAAAATTGGGCTCTCAAAAGAAATTTCAATCGTTGTACTGTTGATATTTGGCTCTGTTGACTAAAGAGTTTGCCGACCACTGCTCTACACCTTTGTTTTTCTCCTTCCAATCCTAATTAGCTATTGTTCATTCTGACATTTCCAGACTGTGATAGCTTCTTAGATTATTCAGTCCTGATGTTTAAAAAGGTCAACAGCACCCTAACCGGTTTGGCTCAGTGGATAGAGCATCGGCCTGCGGACTCAAGGATCCCAGGTTCAATTCCGGTCAAGGGCATGTACCTTGGTTGCGGGCACATCCCCAGTGAGGAGTGTGCAGGAGGCAGCTGGTCAACGTTTTTCTCTCATTGTTTTTTCTAACTCTCTGTCCCTCTCCCTTCCTCTCTGTAAAAGAAAACAATAAGATATATTTAAAAAAAATAAAAAGGTCAACAGCTTTGATATTCCCATTGCATTCCATTTATGGTTTGGATAAAAAAGCTAAACACAAGTAGAAAAGGAGGGAAGTCTATGTATTCTAACATATGCTGGAAAAAATAAAAACAAAACATAAGCCTGAGTACAAAAACTAGCAGAGAAATTTCCATTTATTCATGCACGCTCCCTTTTAAAGATAAATAATATATATTTAAATTACCTATGAAGTATACCCCTAAGTTTATCACCAACTCCAACAATCTTAACTTCTTTCCCGGCTGCTGTGAGCGTAGCCACCTCATTTTTCATCTGTTTAGCAACCGAGGAATGGATAGCACCACAAAGCCCTCTATCTGAGGACACACCAATAAGGAGGTGTTTCTTCTTGTCTTCAGGCACCTTAATATCAGCCTTTTCATACAGAGCTTAAAAACAAACGACAAAAGAAACCAAGAATTTATATATGTAATTCATACTAAATACAATAATCCCAAATTTACAAAAGAGCTGGCTGTTTTAAAAATGATGCATTTAAATTTAGGTGGCATTTGATTAATATAACCAAAACAGCCTGTGTATTTTTTCCATTTATAATCAAGATGAAAACTACAAAGGTTTAAATCTCTATACAGTATGACAAAGGTTCCTAAGGGTGCATTAATGGCCACTTTATCTTAAATACTGACTAAAAGAAATCTCTGGTACAAAGTGACCAGAATTACAGAGGTAACAACTTATTTAGTTATCAGACTTCTAAATAATGCAAATCCTCAGTATACAACCAAAAAAGGCAAATATTTACTAAGCTGCTTATATAAGCTGCATATCAAGCTCTTATAAAAACTGCTGATGTTAAAATAATGTTGCCACTTCATTTTCGGGATTACTTTAACAACCTCACTTTGTTGGTCTAATTTTCCAAGAAGCAGAGAGCAAGAGAGGATTCAGTGGGATGAAATATACATGGACTTTACTAGGAGATATGCCTATGAGAGAAAACAGGAAGTCAGAAGAGTCATCATACCATGCATGATGCAGGTCTGAGCCTTGGGAAGAAAGGTTGGGTGGCAGCTTCCCAATGCAATTTAAGGGAAGCTTAACAAGGCTGCTGGGAACCTCAAGTCTCCCAAGAACATGCCTGCCTGTATCCAGTCTGTGCTCAGGTGCTGGCTAGGAGCAGGCCATTGAAAGCATGGCTGGATGCAAATGGAGGATGGATTTCAACAGCTGGTGCTCACTGTAATTACAAGGTGCAACTTTATGGCTGACACATTTACCCATTTCAACAAAATTCTTGTTACTACTATCTTTTTCAGTATTGATTTTCAAATTTCAATACCTGAGACCCTCCACAAAAAGCAAAGAGAAGTGCCCTGGCCAGGTAGGTCAGCTGGTTAGAGCGTTGTCCTAGTCAGGGCACATACAAGAATCAACCAATGGACTGGCTAGGTGGCTCTGTGGTTTAGGTCAACCTATGAACCAGAAGGTCACGGTTCATGATTCCATTTCCCATCAGGGCACATGCCCGGGTTTTGAGTTTGATCCCCAGTAGGTGGTGTGCAGGAGGTCGATCAGTGATTCTCTCTCATCATTGATATTTATATCTCTCTCCCCCTCTCCCTTCCTTTCCGAAATCAATTTTAAAAAATACTAAAAAAAAAAATCAACCAAGGAATGAATACCTAAGTGTAACAAATCAATGTTTCTCTCTCTTTCTCAAATTAATAAAATAAATAAAAAATAAAGCAGAGAGTACTCAACTCCAAAGTTCAGGAGAGTGGAGAGAATATTTCTTTTAAGTCTCTTTTTAATATTGTATAGTGTAAAATACCTACTTTATATTTTTAAATATTTAAAATAATTAGCTATTTAATATTTACCAGTTAGGTTTTTTGGGGGTTGTTTGTTATTTTTCTTTAGTTGAAGGACTTCAGGATGAATGGCAGCCTTAACTTGGATTTTTAGTATTTTTCTACAATACTCCATCAGATATCTATGCCAATTTCTTCTTTATTAGGTAATTTTGTGGTTATAGACATTTGGAGGGTAACAAATTTAATATACACTAGAGGCCTGGTGCACAAAATTCATGCGGGGGGGTTGGAGGGGGTGGAGAGGGGATGTCCCTCAGCCTACCCTGCACCTTCTCCAATCTGGGATCCCTCTCACAATCCAGGACTGCTGGCTCCCAACTGCTCACCTGCCAGCCTGATTACCCCTAAACAGCTTCTGCCTGCCAGCCTGATTGCCCCCGAACCACTCCCCTGCCAGACTAATTGATGCCTAACTGTTCCCCTGCCAGCCCACTTACCCCCAACTGCCCTCCCCTGCCAGCCCAGTCGCCCCCAATGGTCTAAATCAGCAGTCAGACATACCCCAAGGGGTCCTGGATTGGAGAGGGTGCAGGCTGGGCTGAGGGACACCACTCCTCCCATGAATTTCGTGCACTGGGCCTGTAGTTGAGAATAAGGTTCAGTGTGAAGAGGAATGAGACAGTCACTCAACTTTGATGGCAAAGAACACTAATCTGAAATCCTGGATAATGCAAACTTAATAAAATCATGGGAAAATGACTGGCTCCATATGATTATATTACTAACTGTCCACCCCTGCAGACCTGGTCCCTCTCCAACTGCCCTCCCCTGCAGGCTGGTTGCTCCTAACTGCCCTCCCCTGTTGGCCTGATAGCCCACAACTGCCCTCCCCTCCAGACCATCTTGTGTCCACATGGGGGCAGCCATCTTGACCACATGGAGGCAGCTATCTTATGTGTGGAGGGGGTGGAGAGGGGATGTCCCTCAGCCTAACCTGCACCTTCTCCAATCTGGGATCCCTCTCACAATCCAGGACTGCTGGCTCCCAACTGCTCCCCTGCCAGCCTGATCGACGCCTAACTGCTCCCTTGCTGGCCCGATTGCCCCTAACGGCCCTCCCCTGCCAGCCTGATCGACGCCTAACTGCTCCCTTGCTGGCCCGATTGCCCCTAACGGCCCTCCCCTGCCAGCCTGATCGACGCCTAACTGCTCCCTTGCTGGCCCGATTGCCCCTAACTGCCCTCCCCTCCCCGCCTGGTCACCCCTAACTGCCCTCCCCTGCAGGCCTGGGTCGCCCCAAACGGTCCTCACCTGAAGGCCTGGTCGCCCCTAACTGTCCTTTGTCCCTAACTGCCCTCCCCTGCCGTCCTGGTTCCCCCCAACTGCCCTCCCCTGCAGGCCTGGTCAGCCCCAACTGCCCCAACCTCCAGCCTGGTTGCCCCTTACTGCCACCTCCCCGTCAGCCTGGTCACCCCGGTCGCCCCTAACTGTCCACCCCTGCAGACCTGGTCCCTCTCCAACTGCCCTCCCCTGCAGGCTGGTTGCTCCTAACTGCCCTCCCCTGTTGGCCTGATAGCCCACAACTGCCCTCCCCTCCAGACCATCTTGTGTCCACATGGGGGCAGCCATCTTATGTGTTGGAGTGATGGTCAATTTGCATATCACCACTTTATTAGATAGGATGTTCATAGCAGCAAGAAAAATAAATAGTAAAGTGACTTTTCTTTTTCATATAAAGAGCTAGAGAGTAATTTAACCAACGAACATTTACCGAGCCACCAACTAGATACTTAGTATTGTGCTAAGGAGGGAAGGAGACATGAAAGCAAATGGCTGGAGCTGATAGGTATTGCTGAAACCTAACCTAGCAACTCTCCTCTAGGTGAAACTAAGTATGGTATTTAAAGTAAGGAGCAATTTCCACTGATGCCTAGTGCTCTATAATTTCCTCATGTAAAAATTTATTTAGCAGTATAAATGCATGTTTAAAAATATGGAAGAGCACAAGAAATCTACTGCACAGGACAATTTACATCTAATACACAGACCAACTGATATACAGAGTATATCAAAAAATGTATATACACTTTAATAGCTAAAAGCTCAATTTTGAAAAGAAAATGTACCTTAATAAACACTGACTTTATTCAAAGTGTGAGTAGACATTTTTTTGGACACCCTCTATCTTCTCTAATTTGGAAATAAACAAATTTTGTTTTCTTTACAGTTGATGTTTAAACATTGCACTCATGTATTCACGAACCATGTTCATGACTACTTGGCCAACTCTCCACTGTAGAGTATCACCTCCCCACCCTGCACTTCTAAAATATCACATCACGCCGAAACCGGTTTGGCTCAGTGGATAGAGCGTCGGCCTGCGGACTGAAAGGTCCCAGGTTCGATTCTGGTCAAGGGCATGTACCTGGGTTGCGGGCACATCTCCAGTAGGAGATGTACAGGAGGCAGCTGATCGATGTTTCTCTCTCATCGATGTTTCTAACTCTCTATCTCTCTCCCTTCCTCTCTGTAAAAAATCAATAAAATATATTTAAAAAAAATATATCACATCACAACTGAATAGGGTGAACTCAAGCACTGGAATTTGATGCACTATATACCTAAGTTCTTTCAATGGTATATTTAATAATCTAGGAAACTTTTCAGAATCTTTAAGAAATTAACATAATAGGTATGCAATCTCAGGCAAGTTACTTGATGTCACTGTGCTTCAGTTTTTCTCATCAGCAAAGCAGAGGCTCAAACAGTTCCTACCCCAATAGGGCTGCTGTGAAAAATGAGTACATGTAAAATAGTCAGAATAGGCCCACTGACACCAAATAAGTCATTAGTAGTTAACTTCATGCTTAACTAGAGGCCCAGTGCACAAAATTAGTGACAAAGTAGGGTCCCTAGGCCTGGCCGGTGATCAGGGCCCACTGGCACCTTCTGGCTGCCAGTCAGGGCCTTCCTTCGTTCCACGCCACCCCCTGGTGGTCAGTGCACATCATAGCGAGCAATAGAACTCCTGGTCTCCTGGTCAAACTTTCGAGGGGACACTTCGCATATTTGCCTTTCATATATATATCTACATATATGTATACATAGATAGTTCTTCATAGTTTTTGAATTACATTCTTCTCTTACCCAAAGATCCTGTTCCATACACTCGAGCTGGTTTCAGCTCCCTCTCAGCTCGGGCGTATTTTGCTGCTGCTACCATTTTCATAGACTTGGTAATTTTCTGGATGTTTTTGATTGACTTCAGTCGCCTGGTAACTGAAAAATAGAAGTATTGTGTTAATACGTTGCAAGTGGAACACGAGCATTCTCATGTTTTCATATTACATGTTTTACATAAACGTTAAAGGCACACCTTAAAATTAAATACCCACTGCATTTTGAAGTTATTTATTATATATACTTACAAGATAATATCCTTTTAAAGTATGATACTTTGTAAAACGTTTTTTGTACTCATTTACTAGAAACTTCTCTGGCCATTGGGTAACGCCAGCAATAAAACTACTGGTGTGCAATGTTTTAAGATAAAATAGTTATAATTTCATTTGTAAATTTTTCTAAACTGTAAGCCCCCATTTACATCATTAATTAACAGCATGATGCTAAACTAGGGTTAATGTTAGAATGAGTACTAATAAAAGGTCAAATTTAGCTGACAACATAAGAGATCAGTAAGTTAAACACTGAAAATATTAAATGGTATTGAAAATGGCCTTTAACTACATGTTCCATAACATTTTTTACATATCTACAAATAGTATACTTTTTCTCAATTATAACATTATCATTCTTCAGACAATAGACTGCAACAACCATGTGTCACCTCAGTGTTTGAGTGTCTAAGTTCAATGCCCCACACATATGACATAGATTTTGTCAATTTTGACATAATATATAATGGGCTTAAAAAGGAAGCATATCTTTGAAAGCATTAATTGCTAAAATTTAGTTTTTCTTGATTCACATACTGAGATAAAGTACTTACTGTCTTTCAAAGTTGCCATATTTCGAACTTGGATCCTGAGAAGAAAAGTTTTAAAAATATTTTAGTTTGAGAAATAGCTCCATTACATAATAAAAACTTTCAAAGTTAATATGTTTATTTAAATACCCCATAAAGGATTACTTAAATATAGGACTCTAAATATATATGTTAATTTTTAAAACTCTCAAAACTGATAACCTAATCCTGTATCAAAGGCCTGATTTTATTTAACTAACACAAACCTTTCACTGAACTCACATTGGCATTCATACATGCTCTCCCACCTTCATGTCTTTGCCTATATTGTTTCACCAAAAGGAAAGTTCTTTCCTTTGTTAGGTTACCCAACTTTCTAGGTCAACCACCTCTAAAAATAGCATTCCTTGCCCAGCAGTGTGGCACCGTGGTTGAGCCTCATTCTATGAAGCAGGAGATCATGGTTCAGTTCCAGGTTAGAGAACATGCCTAGGCTGTGGCTCGATCCCCAGTAGGGGTGTGCAGGAGGAACCAGATCAATGATTCCCTCTCATTATTGATGTTTTTATCTCTCTCTCCCTCTCCCTTCCTCTCTGAAAATAAATAAAAATATATATTTTTAAAAAGCATTCATTGACTTCTTCAGTTAACCAAAATCTTTTCAATAACACTTATACATTCTAACATAACAAAATGTGTGAAAGTTTCATTCCAACTAATTCTTAACTTTTCCAATTCAATTCAATAAACATTTACTAAACAGCTACTGTTCTTCAGGATATGGTCTCTGATCACAAGAAGGATACCATTATCTCATAAACAAGATTCATGAAAATTTAGATTTACATAAAATTTACATGGAAAATTTTCTATAATCTTTAAAGTATAATGCATAAAAGTCAAAATGACTTAAATGTAATGTTATTGAAAGATAAATATGAAAGGATCCCTGCCCTATGGAGGAAGGCAACATATTACCAAATATAAATTATCTTCCAGCCCTTAAATCCATACAAAGTACTTGTGTTGGCCCAGAAAGGTCCATGGAAGACTTGAAGATTCAGTAAATTTGTGCATAGAAAAGGACTAAGGAGGATAGTCCTAGGAACGGGAAATCGTTTTGAAGTTGGAGGCATGGGTTGGTTTAATAAGTTTAAATATTATTTTATAGGGAATAAGAAAATGAATATCCATAAGCCAACAAATCAGTTTAGTTTTTCAGTGAAGTATCTTGGATGGCAGTGAAAAGCCAACATAATGTTGGAATACTGATGACATGGAAACTATATAGGGACTGCTGCAACTTCCAAACAAAAGCAAGAACCTGTACTAAGATGTTAACAAAGCCAACAAGAGATGAAGTTTGAGATCAAATTCTTGAGAGTCAAAAGGAGCTCAGCGTGGCTCAGTGGTTGAGCATTGGACTATGAACCAGGAGGTGAGGGTTTGATTCCTGGTCAGGGAATATGCCCAGGTTGCAGGCTCGATACCCTGTGGGGCATGCAGGAGGCAGTTGATCGATGATTCTCTCTCATCATTGATGTTTTTCTCTCTCGCTCTACCTTCCTCTCCGAAATCTATCCTATCCTATATAATAAAGAGCTAATATGCAAATGGTCATCACGCCCTTGCGCCAGGGCTGGGGGACCTGAGGCTGCGCCCCCCGCCCTGTGGAGCTTGACAGGGGTGGGACCGGCTAGGTCTGGATCTCGCCCAATTTCTAGGTCTGGGTCTCGCCCGATTTCGAGGCACGTGCAGGTGGGCGGGGACTTGACTCTGGGTTCTGTGGGCACGCCCCAGACTCTGACAGGAGGAAGATTTTCATATACATTTTACTAATTTCCTTTCATCTCTGACACTTCTATTATAGAGAAAGGGCAAATGGCAATATTAAAATATTTCTTCTAGATAATTCCCTTTTAATGTGAACGAATTTCATGCACCAGGCCACTAGTAAAATGTATTTTTTTTAAAAAAAGAGTGAAAAGGAAAACAATAAGAATGACCCAGAATTTTCTAATTTAATGACCTCAGTGGATGGTGTTGTCATTAACCAAGATAGATCAAGTGGGTGCAGGTGATCTCCCTGGAGAAAATGATTTTTGAATACGATATAGTTAAAAGACCATGGAACCAGATGGAACTGTCCAGTGGGTTTTATTTTTATTTTTTTAATAATATAGTATAATATAATGTAATATAATATAATATATTATTGATTTCAGAGAGGAAGGGAGAGGGAGAAACATCAATGATGAGAGAATCATTGATTGGGTGCCTCATGCATGCCCCCAACTGGGGACAGAGCCCACAACCTGGGCATGTGCCCTTGACCAGTATCGAACCTGGGATCCTTCAGTCCACAGGCCGACGCTCTATCCACTGAGCCAAACCAGCCAGGGCTCCAGTAGGTTTTAGATTTTGAGATTTGTGATACAGATTTGTAACTATCAGTAAATATAGTAGTTGATGCCATGTTTTCCAAAGGAAAATAATGGGAATAGAAGCAGGGGGAACATTCCTAATTTTATGAGGTTAGCATTATCTTAATACTGAAATCACATAAATACATTAAAAATGACAGAGAATCTCTTTCATGAACAAAGGTGCAAAATTCTCAACAAAATATTAGCAAAATGAATCCAACAATATATTAAAATGAATTATACACTGTGACCAAGTGGAATTTATTCTAAGTATGCAAGGCTGGTTCATCGTTCAAAAATCAAATACTAGTAATATCCATCACATCAACAGTTAAAGAAGAAAAATCATATGATCAATAGATGCAGAAAAATCATTTGACATAATCTAATACCTTTTCATGACAAACCTTTTAGCAAATTAAAAATAGAAGAAAAAAACTTCCTTTATCCAGTAAAGAATATCTACCAAAAACCCCATGGTTTAAGGGTGAGAAACTAGAAATTTTCTCCCTAAGATTGGGAACAAGACAAAGGACGTCCTCTCTTACCACTCCTATTCAACATCATACTGGATGTCCCAGCTAATATAAGACAAGAAAATGAAATAAAAGGTGTATAGACTGGAAGCGAAGAAATAAAGCTGTCTTTGTTCATAGGTGATATGATTGTCTGGGTAGAATATCCCAAAGAAGTAGCAAAAAAACTTCTGGAACTAATAACCAATTATAGTAAGATTATTACAGGATACAAGGTAAATATATACAAAAGTCAATTCTCTTTATACCAGGTATGAACAATTAGGGTTTCGAGTTAAAAAAACAACAACAAAAAAATAATACCATAAACTGAAGACTTAAAAAATGGTTATGATGACAAATTTTATATTTTACCACAATTTTTAAAACATACAAAGACATATATAAACCTAACAAAATGTGTGTGAGACATATATGAGGAAAACTGCAAAACTGATGAAAGAAATCAAAGATGCAAATAAATGGAGAGAAATTCCATATTCATAGATAGGAAAATTCAATGTTGTTAACAAGTTAATTCTTCCCACTTGATCTGAAATTATTACAATTCCAATAAAAATCTCAGCAAGTCACTTTGTGACTATCAATAAACTGATTTTAATGTCTATATGGAAAGGCAAAACACCCAGAATAGCCAACACTACAGTGAAGAAGAACAAAGCCAGAGAAGTGACACTACTAGATTTCAAGACTTACTATCAAATTCCAGAAAACAAGACAGTGTGGCATTCGTGAAGGAATGGACAAGTAGATCAATGGAACAGAATACAGAGCCCACAGACTCACACAAATACATTAACTTAAGTTTGACAAAGGAGCAAAAGTCATCATATGGGGAAAGGATACCCTTTTCTACAAATGGTGTTGGTGCCCTACCAATTTGGCTTAGTGATAGAGCACTGGCTGGTGGACTGAAGGGTCCTGGATTTGATTTCAGTCAAGGGCATGTACCTCGGTTGCAGGCTCAATCCCCAGCTGGTTTGGGGGTGTGCAGGAGGCAACCAATCGATGTGTCTCTCTCACACTGATGTTTCTCTGTCTCTCAGATTAATGGAAAAATATCCTCCAGTGAAAATAACAACAAAACAACTTCAAGATACCACAGGAGAAAATCTAGGTGCTTTGTCTGACTGAGTTTTTAGCTAAAACATACAAGGTGTGTCGGACACTTACCATATTAGGCTTTTATTATATAGGATAAGGAGTGACATTTGGACATTATAGTTTTAGGCAGACACTCCAACTTGATTGACACAAGTCTCTAATCAGAGAATTATGATATGAAACAAATGTTAATTGCATGCCATATTTGTATGAACACAGAACTCTTTAAAACTCAAAGAGTTATTGAGTTTTAAAGAGTTCTTTGGGTTTCCATACTATCCCAAATGAGGTATGAAGAGGTAGGATCTTTTGTGATTCTTCATGCTGTGCTCATGGTCTAATTCCCTGTTTTGAAGAACTCTCATGCTTAGCCTTCATTTAGTTCTAAAGATGTCAATCTATGCTACAACTTTATTTTTTAAATACAATTTGAGTACACAATAACCATGAGTTGATCTGAACTCTCTTTAGGGATAGCTTGCTCTATCTACTGAATATACAATATTTGCAAATGAAAATATAAAGTTCTGAATCAGTTTTATGTTCTAGAGAACTGCATCATGTCCTGAGAAACATTTAGATTATTTGGAAAACTAGAAACATTATCAAATACAGTGGATGGAAAAATTACACATATTGTGGATTACCATTATTTATTATGATTATACAGTATTGTTAGGAAAGCTGAAGAAGGCAGTGTGGAGGGAGTTAGAGAGGTCGCTAGATGAATGATTTATCAATTTTAAGGAGCATATAAATGCTGTGTAATATAAAAATTAAGGAAGCAGCATTCATAATTCATTTTTTTCCTTTTTAAAATTAAATTTAGTGGGGGTGACACTGGTTAACATGATAATACCGGTTGCAGGTGTGAGTTTCCATGTTATAAGATTTGTATATTGCACTGTGTGCCTAACCACCCAGAGTTAAATCTTCTCCTATCACTATATACTAGGTCCCCTTTCACCTCCCACCCCCTACACTAATTATTAAGGAAAATTATTAAGTATGTATAATTCTAATATTGAACGTCTGTGTGAAAGTCCACTTGCCCCTTGAACAAAAAATGACTCCCTCGCACTTCTTTACCAACTGTGGCGCATGATCATCTTCTTTGATAAGTATAATAAACCTTCTTACATTGTTTTACATAGAAACTAGTTATAAACTCGTTTTCAATTGATACATCTGAGTCCACACCAGCATGTCTCCCACTGCTCTCATCTCTTTACAAATTCTCACACTAACCCAGGGGTCCTCAAAGTTTTTAAACAGGGGGCCAGTTCACTGTCCCTCAGACAGTTGGAGGGCCGGACGGTAGTTTAAAAAAAAAACTATGAACAAATTCCTATGCACACTGCACATATCTTATTTTGAAGTAAAAAAACAAAACGGGAACATTTGCATGTAGCCTGGGGGCCGTAGTTTGAGGACCCCTGCACTAAGCAATTAATTGTGTAGTATCATTAGCTCCATTTAACAGTTACAAAAATGGTAGAGAAACTTGTCCAAGGTCACACAGCCACGGGAGTGGCAGTCAGGATTCAAACCCCAGCAGCTTGGCTCCAGTCTATCTTATATTACACTCTGCTGCCTCACATTTTTTACATTTACAAGTAAATCTCTGCTTTTTTAGTTTAAGATGACAATCTTCCTTTTCTTTCCTGAAATACCATGTCTTTTCCTTTTCAATGTATTAGTTCAATTTATGGCCACTGGTCTCCTATCTATCTACTAGAGGCCGATGTACAAAATCCGTGCAAGGAACTCGGCCCTCACAGCCCCAGCTTCGTCTGGAAGATCGTTCGGCTGTCTGGTCTAATCAGCATATTACACTTTTATTATCTATAATAATAAAGCTGGGGCTGCGAGGGCCGAGGCAAGGTGGGACCGAGCTCCTTGCACACATTTCGTGCATTGGGCCTCTAGTTATAGATATAAAAGCCAAGTGACCAGAACAGCCAGTCACTATGACATGCACTGGAGAGGCCAACTGGCCTGATCGGAGCCCAGACTGGCCCCTCCCCCCAACCAGCCCTGCCCCCCAATCAGCCCCCCCAACCCCAATGGGGGGGGAGGGGACAAGCTGGTCATATCCCAGGCCCGCCCCCACATCAGGCCTCTAGTTATAAAATAGTTCCATTTTAGAGAATGTGTAACACTAGGTGGGAAATAGAGATGTATTTTCCCCTAATTTGAGATGGAAAAAGTAGAGACTCTTCCACAAATTTCTTATTTCCATTTTCTTAAATGCTACTTAAAAAAAAAAGTTAATTTCTGAAAGTTTAGGGTACTTGCTGATTCCCTAAACAATTAAAATAATTTCATCATGATTTTAATTAAGCCTCATGTTTAATGTTAGAATGCAAACTTCCCTGAAGCAAAAACTGTAACAAATCCACATTTAAAAATTTTCAATAACCAAAACAGAACCAAGGAAATGCCCCTTCATGGTTCAAGCAAAGGTATTTTTCTGCCCCTCAAATTACTTCTGTGGAGTGTGAAACATTAAGATGGTTTTCATTTCTGAATTTACAAGGCAATTATAATGAATGGGAAAGAAAAGGGCAGAATAGGTAGGAAAAACATCAGGCCCCCAGAATGATGGAAAATGTGAAGAAGATAAAATATGCTTTCCACGTGGAACACCAATGTTTGATGAATATTCATAACCTACCAATTTAAAACCATCATTCCAAGGGGATTAAGGTCAGGACTATAACCTTTATTTATTTGATGAATGAAGTTCCAATTTAGGTCCCTAGAATTAGGTTGTCTCAGACTGAGAGCTTTCATTTAAAATAATTCTTTATTAAAAGATCTTCAAATTGTCTTACAGGTTGGGGTTTTTTAGTTATTTCTACAGTTAGTTAGTATTGATTGATTGATTGATTGTAGAAAAGCAAGGAAGAATTCATTGATGGATTGATTGCAGAAAAGCAAAGAATTCATTGATTCACTGATTGCTTGATTGTAGAAAAGCAAGGAATTCATTGACCATAGCAAAAACATATTTAGGACAATACAACAAGAAAGGGCATAGAAGAAGCAACAGGAGAGTCTAGGCTGGGCTGCTTTAGCTCACTGGGAAGTCAGAGAAAAGGGGTGCTTTGGAGACAGCTAACCCAGGGGGTTAGCCTGGGATGAGCTCCCACTGCCCATTGCTCCCCTGTAGGCATTTCACAGCATATTAAATTACTTCCTTACCCTATTGTTTTAAATTCTTTTCTTAATGGAAAACATACCTATTTCAATTAATACTTTATAGTCTCTTCACATAAACAAGGATACCAAAATCTAGTTTAGTGCTATAGCTCCTTAGAATTCTCCCTTATGTAAACCCAGGGAATTGCTTCACAGACAATAACTAAGATCTCCTTAGCACTGTCTGAAATTTTCCGACTCTAACATAGATATTTCGTCCTATTATATGGTCCCACCACAAGCCAACGTTTATGTGCCTATTCCTAGGCCTTTTACTACGCAATTGTTTTTGGAAACCAATGTTTAAAATCCTTAAAAATTGCAAGACAGTTACTTAATCCAAACTCCACCTCCTCTCAGGACCTTGGGACAATTTCATGACCTTGCAGGGTTACTGCTTCAGCATAATGGTTTCGAGATACCGTAAGGTGTCTTTCTCTTCCTCGCCCACGGACATTTTCTTAAGGTCCCTTTTGCACCCAAACTACCCCCGGCCCACGCAGGGCACTCATCTGATTCCCCGGTGCCCAGCAAAGCGCCCGCTGCAAGGTCGGTGCTCAATAAACGTTCTGGCTCAATCGAACAGCTCCTGAAGGGTCACTCCGCTCTACACCGGCCATGCAAACTCTGTCCAACCCCGGGAAATTTCAAAAGGCGTCAAGGACGGAAAGCACAACTTAACCTTCCCTAGACCTTGCCCTGGATCCTCCCTTCCCCCTCACTCTGTGGGCCCAGGTCAAGCCTGCACGAAACTCATGGCCGGGCACAGAGCAGGGGCTCCGAGCGCAAGCACTTATGTTAGCGGAATGAATACAAGATCGCCCTGAAATTAACTCGGCCCAAGGTCTCAGTCCCGAGGTCCCAGATGACAACTCCTCGGGCCCTCCCCCCGCCCCGCTCCGCCTCAGGAGACGTGGCGTAACCTTGCGCGGTCCCTCCGGCCTCTTCACGTGCCCTTCCCGGATTCGAGGCGCTTCCTGCACCCCGGGCCACCCGGGGCCTCCGGGGACCGGGGCCTCCAGAGACCGGGGGCCCGGCCGGCCTGCGACCCCTGTTCCGTCCCACACGCCTCCACCCGCTTCGCCCTTATCGAGTCCTTCCAACCCTTGCAACCCTCCCGTTCCTACCGCAAGCTGCCATACCATTGCGGCTGCACGGCCCAGGCCGAGACCCCCACGACGCCCGCCCGAGAAAACATGGTGGTACTGGCCCTGGTGAAGGTCGGTCAGACGGGCCTCCCCGCGCATGTGCAGGAGCTTGCCCACGCCCCCTCCCGCCCCACTTCCTGCTCCAGTCTCGCTTTCTGACGCCAAACCGAGGTAAACCTCGCGAGCTTTAGGGCCCAGCCTTCCGAGGCCCCGCCTTCCTCCGGCTCGGAGCTGGTATTTGTCCCGCCCACTCCTATCGGCTCGATTCCGCTTCCGGTTGTCTGGGCGCTGGGTTCCGGAGAGAGGTTGCTGCGGTGGTCACGATGGGCAAGTCAGACTTTCTTACCCCGAAGGCCATTGCCAACAGGATTAAATCCAAGGGTCTTCAGAAGCTGCGCTGGTATTGTCAGATGTGCCAGAAGCAGTGCCGGGACGAGGTAAGCGGCCCCGGGATGGCCCCATGCGCCGTCCTCTCCCTTGTCCAGCTGGAAACCCGGGCTCAAGCCCCCGATGCTGAAGGTGAAGGCGTGGATCTTGTCCTGGGGTGTGAACGGGGCGAGTCAGCTAGTCAACCCAGTAGGGACCTTTCCCTGCAGCCCCCGTCCTGGTGGGAACCAATAGTCTGGAAGCCTCTTTCTTCCCAATCTGCGCCCCCTAAGAAATGAGAAATAAAAGATTTTGCAGCCCTGGTAGAAGTGATCCCACTCAAGGCTTGAATAATTAAATGCCAAGCGCCTAGGTAATAACAATAACAGTCATCTCTGACTTGCCCTGGCTCTTGAGAGAAACAGAATTGTTAGGATTCACCCCTCTTTTCAGGATCAGATGAAAAAGAAATAAGTTCTTGCACACTACTCATCCAACAATAATTTATTGAGCAGCTACCATGTGCTCGGGCAGGGAGATTATTGTGGTTGAGATGTGGACCGGGGTCAGACTGTCAGAGTTATGAAGCCTTGCCGCACCACTTAATTGCTGTGTGGCCTTGGGCAAGTAACTTATATTCTCTCTGCCTGTTCACTTATCTGTAAAATGGGAACGATAGCTATACCTACTTGTAAGATTGTTGTGAATTTTAAATGAGTGAAGTATGTTTAAAATGACTCTGGGGGCGGTGGGTCGTCTTTGGTCAGATCTTGAAAAGCTTTGTGTGCTGTGCAATGGAGTTTACAATTTTTCCCATGAGATGGGTGATAAATGAATCGCCTTGAAGGACTGAGAACAGGCTAGTGATGTGATCATATTTTTCTCTGGAGATTGAATTGGGTAAGGATGGGAGAACGCTAGGCAATTCTGTGTGAGGGATGAGGTATTTTAGTGGGACTCATATTGAATAGCATTGATACTGTTATCTGTTTTCATTTCTCTTTAGTTTTTTCTAGTTGAGTCAAGGTGAAATTCTCACACAGAAAACTAGAGACTAGTACATTGAACATCCATATATCTATTACTCACATTTAACATTTTAAGAATTTTGTCATATTTACTTTTTTCTGAAATGTTTTAAAGTAATGTACAAACTTCAGGATATTTCACCGCTAAATACTTAAAATGCATTTCTAAAATATTAGGATATTTTTCCACAGAGCCACCATGTATATCATCACACATAACAAAATTAATAGAAATTCTTTCATGTCATCTGATACACACTACAAACTCACATTTTCTCAGTTCTTCCCCCAGTTGCTTTTAAAGCAATTTAAAAAACAACAAGATCAAATCAAAAGCTATGAATTGGATTTGGTTATTAGGGCTTAAAAAATAAACTTTATTTTTCAAGCCATTTTACATTGACATGTCATTATCACCAAAGTCCATAGTTTACATTAGTGTTCACTCTTGGTATTGGACATCCTGTGGGTTTGGACAAATGTCTAATAATACGTATCCCCCAGTGTGATATCACACTGAGTGCTTTCACTGCCCTAAAAATCTCTATGCTTCAGGTTATTAGGACTTTCAATTCTCCCTAAATTCTCAAATTAGAATAGAACACACTTCCTCCACCCTTTCCTTCCACTCCCCTACTTTTTTTCTTACCATTGACTTGAAGATACTAGGTCAGTCACTTATCAGAACATTGACACTTTCTGGATATGTTAAATTGTTTCCTTTAATTGTCTTTACCTTCTTTCTCTGACTCTTGTAATTGTTGATATCTAAAGACTTGATTAGGTTCAGCTGAAACATTTTGGGACAAATACTTGATAGGTGATTCAGAGTATTTCATATTGCATCACATAAGGAAGCCCATATGTCTAGTGTGCTAAGATGAGTATGTAAAGATGACAGCCTATAAAGTAATGTTAGAAAGTAATATTTTCCCTCTTGCAGGAACATGTAACTAGTAGGGTGATACTTTGGAATCATGATCATATATCTATTTTTCCTTTCACCTGTGTGGTTATCATCTTTGCCTGAGTCAATTATTTCATTAGGAGTTGCAGAGTGGTTATTTGTCTAATTCTTTCTACATTTGTTATTGGCTGCTACTCATGTTTATTTCCCTTCCCTACGTGGGAGGACAGCCTGGGGGAGGAGAAGTTGACCCTAATAAGTTTCCGCCTCTGTCTTCTGTCTTTCAGTATTGGAAGATTGAGGGGGAGAACGGTCAGGCCCAGAGTATTCCATTCCTGCCCATCCACTCCCTTGGGTTTTCCTGAAACTACCCTAATCAAGATTTAGTGTTGAAATCAGGACAATGACAATGGGATTGAGCAGAGGGACTGGATGAGAGTTATTAAGAAGGCTGACTAGGCTCAGTGATTTATGGAATGTAGGATGAAAGAGACGGACACTAGAATGCTGGCCTTGGTCTTAGGTATGATACATCCTATTCACTGAAGTGGGGTTACAGGAGGAGAGGCACATTTTTCATTTCTATTACTAGTGAAGAATTAGGTTCAAATGCTAAGTAGAACAGATACAAAGTCAAAATGTATCTATATATGTAAAAGCCTAAGTGACTGTCCAACCATCCTACTGGTAGTTATGACACGCACTGATCACCAGGGGGCAGACGCTCAACGCAGGAGCTGCCAAGTGATAGCAACTTTGTAGAATGCCCTCTCACACTCTGGGACCCCTTAGGGATGTCGGACTGCCGGTTTCGGCTCAATCCCTGCAGGCCAGGCCAAGGGACCCCACCTGCCAGAGAGGCCCCACTCACACTGCAGATGCCCTACAAGCCCCAGCATTGCCCCAGGTGCAGCCAGCAGGGAAGGGACCATGGGAGGTTGGCTCCAGGGGGTGTCTGACCTGTCTGGCCCAGTCTTGCTGGCCACCTTCTAGTTAATTTCCTTACAATGTGCACGAATCCATGCACTGGGCCTCTCGTGTTTTTATAACCATCTGAGCAGATATAGATTAGTATGCTTAACATACGGTTTATGTAATATGCAACAATGTATTTTGGGCAATAGCCAAAGTACAGAAAAGAGAGTGAAAAATAGTGTCCTTACTGGAAATTAATGACCCATTTTATTTCATTATATTCCTCAAAGCATTTGTATACCACTCTGTGTGCAATAGGCACTCAACAGTAATTTGTTAAATTGACACACACAAAAAATGAAATCATTCCTATGTTACTGTACGTAGAAGTGTTTCTTACTAATGTTTTCTAAAGCACTTTTTTTTGTCTCTTTAGTATTTGGAATTATTCTTTGATTAACAGGGTTGTAAAACTCAGCTTGGTAATTTGGCTAGTGATTTTAGTACTTTTTACAGTTTATCATCAAAGAGCAACTTTTTAGAGTTTAATTAAATACTTCTACTTAGGCCCCATTATGATGACTTAAATCAGAATTTAATTACTCCCTTTACATTTTTGTAGAATGGCTTTAAGTGTCATTGTATGTCCGAATCTCATCAGAGACAACTATTGCTGGCTTCAGAAAATCCTCAGCAGTTTATGGATTATTTTTCAGAGTAAGTAACTCAAAGACATTCTTATCTCATAAGCCTCATTCAGTTGGACATTTCATAGATGCTTAATATTTTATGTACGGGAGGCTCTGTTTATCCTTACATATTGTAGAATGTGTACTCCTCTGCCCCCACACCCTTCACTAATTTGTACTCAGTTTCTGTCTTCCTTGTACAATTTGTCCTAGTATGAAATTATTTTAAAAAATGTTCCTCACAGCTCAGTTTTTCCTTCTTTTCACTTCAAACAAACAAAACTATCTTTTCTTTTAAAACAAATGTGGCTAAGAGCACAGCTCTGGAGTCAGATTGCCTGACTTTAAGTCCTTTAAATCCACTCATGAGCTACGTGACTGGGTGAATTAAGTTTTTCTGGGCTTTAATCTTATCTCTAAAATGGGACTAAAAATAGTACCCTCTTCCAGGTATTGTCTCTTCTTCATAGGGTTTATATGAAGCTATATGAGTAATATTTATAAACTATTTAGAAGAGTGCCAGTACTCAATAATATTAGCTATTAATTATTAATAATATTTAGTCTTGCTTCTCTCCATTTCTTTTTTTCTAAAGTTCTAGACCTTTTGATCTTAGGACCATCTTGAATGCCACCAGGGTACTTGTGGTGCGCTTTGGGAAATACCATTCTGGCAAGAGCCATCTACACTCAGTGCTTTCCTTGCCACCTCCTTCCCATTCCCTCCATCCACTGTAGCTGCCTTCCGCCTCTGTCAGACTCCTAAACAGTCACTCGTGCCTTTCTCCATCTTGCTTTTCCTTGATCTTTCTTCAATGGATTAAATCTTAACTCTCAATTGAAACACCTCTCTGATTTACCTTCTTTCCTGGTTTTCCTCCTACCACTCCCTCTGCTCACTTTCTTCATTAACTCCTCTTCCTCTCCCAGCTCCTCAAATGTAGAAAGTCCTTCAGGTCCCACTTGGCTTCTTTTCACCCCACTCTACAGTCTCCATGAGTTACATTACTCTTCTGTTACCTTTATGATTGGATAAACATAAATTCCTAAGTCCGGATGTTCATTCATAACATCTGTCTTGAGTTATAGTTCCTTTGTTTTTTTTTTCTGGGCAATTCTAATCTATATTTCTGAAGGCCATCTCAGAGTCAACATTTCTAAAGCTTAACATAGGATTCTCCCCATCACACCTGGTTATCCTTTGCTAGCTAAAAACTGCCTATGCAGACTGCCAAGCTGCAAACCTCAGCATCCTCTGGCAATGCCTTCATGTGGATTCTCCCCTACAATGTCCTTTAAACCTATGTCTTTCTATTCTCACAGTCACAGTAATCATCCTCAGTGTGTCTACCTAGAAGATTTCAGTGACTTCCTTACTAGTTTCCCGACCTGCAGCTTCTGTTCCCCTTGTACCTGTTCTCTGCCTGTGGTTCACAAGCCAGTCCCTGATCAGAATCACCTTGAGGGCTTGTGAAGACAGAAAGGCAGACCCACACCCACTTTCCGACACAGTAGATCTGGGATGGGGCAGTAGACATTGCATTTCTATAACGTGCCCAGGTTCCCAGGTGACGTTGATGCTGTTTGTCTAAGGCAGTGGTCGGCAAACCGCGGCTCACACTGTACGTGCGCGCCCGCACGTGGTATTTTTTGGAAGAGCCACACTCAAGGGGCCAAAGAGCTGCATGTGGCTCGTGAGCCGTGGTTTGCCGACCACGGGTCTAGGAACCACACTGTGAGAACTATTATTGTGTGCACTCCAACAGCATTATCTTTCTAAACCACAGATTGTCACAAATTAGCTAAGTAAATTATTTTATGCTTTTCTATTGTCTGCATAAACCCAACCTCTTTAGCATGACCATCAAGGTACTTGAAAAATTAGCCCTAACATTATAGTCCAGCTACTAAGTACATCTTCTCCTTGTTATTCTATTCTACCCTGACTCTCACACCCATTTTTACCTGTCTTCAATGTTAGCCAAATTCGATCCTCATTTCTCAAATGTGAATCTTTCATCTTTCATGTCTCTGTGCCAGCTGGGCACGGCCTTCTCTTCTTCACCTGTAAAAGTCCTATTTACACTTCACCACCCATATTACAAATCACCTCTAGGCACCTCTGGGTATCTCCCTTAATTCTTCCTATGACATTTTCTTACATCTCTTTTTCAATTTGACTTTTGTTATGATTGTGTCTGCTAGATTATAACCTAGGTGAAGATTCATGTTTTATTCACTTATGTTTATCTAGCACTTAACGCAGTGAGCTCAGTTCAGAGGGACACCCTGAGTGCCAGTTTCTTGTGAAATAAGGGCAGTTTTGTTATCATCAATAGGAAAGGGTTGTTATGCCACAGTCAGTAGTGCTAAGAAACTTCATGAAGGACCCTCCCCAAAAATGTGTAGTCACTTTTGCTGCGACTGTTTTGCCAAGACAAAAAGTTTTAACTCCGAACTGATTTTTAACTTTAATTCTTGAAAGCTGTAATCTTTGGGGATTCTTTCCTTGTTCAGTTTTGAAAGATTCATAACAAATATTCAACACATGTTTCATACATCATTTGAGAATCAAACTGTACAATGGCTTAAATTTCAGGAAGAGAATGCTATATGTTTATAGAAATTACCTTAATGCTTTCCTTTCTTTCTTAATTAGGGAATTCCGAAATGACTTTCTAGAACTTCTTAGGAGACGCTTTGGTAAGCATTTTATGTATTGTGCACAGAAAACTTTCTGGTCTATAACCTGCTCAGGATCAACAGTTTCACATTTTGTTCTTAGGAACTAAGAGAGTTCACAACAACATTGTTTATAATGAGTATATCAGCCACCGAGAGCACATCCACATGAATGCCACTCAGTGGGAAACTCTGACTGACTTTACCAAGTGGCTGGGCAGAGAAGGTAAGAATGAGACATATTTGAATAATAGCAGTTATGTGGCTCCATTTCAGGGAGAGAGAGCGTGTGTCATAGTTTCTATGTAAATTTATTGGAAAGAGGATGAGTAAAGTATTTTAAAAACTGTGGACCCTGGCTGGTGTGGCTTGGTTGGAATCTCATCTCATTCACCAAAAGGTCGTGGGTTCGATTCCCGGTCAGGGCACATTCCCAGAGTGCGGGTTCAATCCCCAGTCAGAGTGCATATGATGTTTCTCTCTCACGTTGATGTTTCTCTCTCTCCTTCTCCCTTCCTCTTTCTCAAATCAATAAAAACATACAAAAAAATTTAAAACAAATAAAAACAAAACAAAAAACTATGGAGTCCTAGCTGATGTAACTCAGTTGGTTAGAGCATCATCCCATACAGTTAAGGGTTGAGGGTTCAATTCCAGTTCCAGGGTTCAATCCCAGGTTGAGGGTTCAATTCAGGTCAGGGCAAGTAATAGAGGCAACTAATATTTCTCTCTCACATCGATGTTTCTCTCTCTCTTTTCTTCTCCTTTCATCATATCCTTGGGTGAGGATTAAGAAACAAAATGTGGAGAGGAGCATAATATTCCAGGGTTGATTTTGTGTAGTACAATTAAATATTAATGTCTGGAATCGCTCTTTCGACAGTGCCAAGTTTATCGCTGAAGCAACTTCTCCTTTAGATTAAGGATCATTATCAATCCTCTTCCATTTTTGTCCCCATATTCATTTCACTTTAGGAAACTTCTTACCCCTCTTAAGGAGATTTTTAAAATGTATTGCTTTATTCATTCTTAATCTTATAGGATGAAAAGTTGGGGAGAAGAAAAGAAAGAAATTCTGTGTCAATGTACTACTTATTCAAAGTTTTACTTATTCAGTGTGCTATTTTATTCCATTTTAGGGGAATAATTTCTACTTAGTTACATTAGCAAAATATCATTACTCTATATATGCTTACTGCTTAATCATCACTTGTACTTTTTCCTTTCATTTTTCCAGCTTCCTTGCATTATTATAGTGTCACTGGATTTTAAGAGCTTGTTTATAACTAAAGATATTAACTGTTTCTCATGCATTGCAAATGATATGCCATGTTTTTTGTTACTATTGTACTCTGCTGTTTTACTTTTTGGTTGTATCAAACTTGTGCATTAAATATAATCATATTCTGTTTTAACATATATATATCTATATATATATCATGTACTCATTGGTTGTTAGACACACACAGTTGATTAATTACCAAGCAAGATAATACTTCTTTCATGTGTTTTCCTTGTTTAAATATGTTTCCTCAACCTAGGTGGCTAAAAATCAGAATAGTTATTTTTATGTTCAAAGACAGAGACTATTCCACTTGAAATATATAAGTCTCATTAACTATAAATATGGAAAATTCATGTACTGCATAAATTTCTATATTTGAATGAAGTGTAAAGAATGCAAAGATAGAACATTTATATTTACCTTCAGCTTTGATTATGTACAAATTTGTGATGTTTGTGTGTTTTTTTTAAGGCCTGTGCAAAGTGGATGAGACACCTAAAGGCTGGTATATTCAGTATATAGACAGGGACCCGGAAACTATCCGCCGGCAACTGGAACTAGAGAAAAAGAAGAAGCAGGACCTTGATGATGAAGAAAAAACTGCTAAATTTATTGAAGAACAAGTGAGAAGAGGTCTGGAAGGGAAAGAACAGGTGGGCACAATATTATTGGGAGAGGCAATAGAAAGATGGCCAAAGATGCAAAATTGCTTGTTTTGTTAAGTATTTTGTTAAGTATTGAATTGAGTTTTGTAGGTATTGTGCCTTAACTAGTAGGAAAAAGCATGGCTGAATGTAAAAGCCCAGGTTTTGGAGTTGAGACAGACCTGGATCAATTTCTGACTTACTGACTTCACAATCTTAAGTAATTGTGTAATCTTCTAAACCTCAGTGTTTGTAGCTCTGTAGAGAGGCAATAGTTAATGAGAAAGAAAGAAGCAGATAATTTCTCCTGGTTGTAATTAATGCAGGGCTGGAGATAAACTGTGGGAGAGTAGGGGTCCAGAGCTTGCTCCAGCCTGGAGAGGGCATAAAATATTTGAGGGTAGACACAATTCCTGGATTGAGAAGTCTTAAAGAAGTAATGGGCAACACCCGTGTAAATGGGGGAGAGAGGGCAGGCATGGTGATGGTTCAGGAGTTAGAATAAGTAGATGAAGGCATTGATTTCAAAAATATTTATTGGGTACCTCCTGTGTGCCAGGCACTCTTCTAGGCATGGGGTATACAACAGAGAGAACAAAAGATAAAAAAAACCCTATAAAATAATTCTCAATTGGAGAATATTTACAATACATATAATTTCTTAATTAGGACCTTAATCATGTTAGAGTTGTATCTTAGAGCTACATTGCAACATAGGTAGCAAGTACTAATACCAGGAGTATTTAATATTGATAGTAAATGCTCTGTAAACCAAACTTCAAATTTTTTTTTCTCCCCAAGGAAGCCCCTGTTTTTACAGAATTAAGCAGAGAAAATGATGAAGAGAAAGGTAATTTTTTCTTCTTTTTCTTTTATTAATGTGGATGCTTCTGTATTGGTTCTGCTAAAAGTTGGCATGTTTGGAAGCAAGACGCAATCTGTCGGGATTGCATTGTTCTCGATAAAATAAAAAGACATTGCTGATGAATTGGGTGGGATGCCCTCAGCTACAAATAAAAACAAAACTGGCAAATAACAAATTAGCCTAAACAATAAGGAACTATTTTGTCATGCCAAGAGTTCCAGAGATGGGTAGTTCAGGATGCTGAGCTACTAGCAGCTGGACACGAGGTGGGTGCTGGCACTTCCAGCCGTCATGTGCAGACTCAGCATTGTCCTGAGGATGACAGACAGAGCATCTCTCCAGGAGTTCCTCATGAGCAGATACTCCTCCCGCCAGTGGACTTCTTTTTGATGTCATTGGTCACATGTCCACCTCAAGAACAGTCACAGGGAAGGGAATGGGATTGTTTTGATTTATTTAGAACAAAAGAACCTTACTAATCACCCCCCAAGGGTCCCACCTTGTAATCCTGATGCCTTGGGCACTATGTTTTCAGCTAATTCAGGTGAGAATTTTGGGAGATACAAACATTCAGACCATTGCATCCTTTGAGCCATGTTTGAGAGGTATGGGCGCCTAAACAAAATTGAATTTCTATTAGTGAAGGGTGTGGGGGCAGAGGAGTAGAAAGGCAGTGCAGGCTGTCTGCTACAGCGCTCGATCACGAAGGTTTTTCCCAGCCCTGTGAGCATCCATCCAGCATGTTATACAGGAATTTATGACCTCTGGATAGAAGCATTCCAGCTCTCATTTATTCAAAATGCCCATGGAAAACAACAAAAACAAAATGCCCGTGAATTTATATGTGGATATATGTGGCATCTTATCTGATAATTTTTATTATCATTTTCCTGAAATTTGGAATACCAATTTTTCTCTCCTAGTGGCATTTAATTTGAATAAAGGAGCAAGTAGTTCAACAGCAACATCTTCCAAGTCAAGGTGAGCTGCATGAACAGGTATCTTATAAATTGAGAATTTCTGTGAAATATTGATGACTACATTTTAAAAGCTGCAGTATTGTGAATTATTTTTGTCTGGTTGTACTTTTTGTTTTTTGTTTGATGGTTGGGTGTGTGTGTGTGTGTGTGTGTGTGTGTTGGGGGATTAGCAGCTGTTTTTTGTTTTTTTGTTTTGATTACTTGCCTGTCGTAAGATGACTGTCTTTTGAGGAAAGGGTTCTTTTGATTAAAGGCTTTGCATGGATAAACTACTACTTCTCCATGCATCCTCCCCCACTTAATGGTTCCTCTGCTACTGCAGTATTGTTTATTTTTCTCTCATAGTTCACTTAGCAAGTTTAAATGTTAGCGAGGGTATACATTTTTTGCTTTACCTGCTGCATTACAATTTTCTGAAAATACAGGCTAAGTTATTGAGCCATCTCCTTGGTACCACCACCTAGTACTGTATAACTGCCCTAGTGGTCACTCTGTAAGAGTTGCCTTCTCTTCTAAATGGCATAGTACAAGCAGGAGTCCACAAACTTTTCTGCAAAGGGCCACATAGTGAATACTTTAGTCACTGTTGGTCATATATGTCTTTGTCACAATCATTTAACTTCACTGTCAAACATAGGCAGTATGTAAACGATTGAGAATGCTGTGCTCCAGTAACATCGTATTTGTAAAAATAGGCTGGATTTGGTCCTCAGGCTGTAGTTTGCCAAACTCTGATATAGCATATAGTCAGATACTTCTCACTTTTTAAAAAAAATAAATATTTTATTGATTTTTTACAGAGAGGAAGGGAGAGGGATAGAGAGTTAGAAACATCAATGAGAGAGAAACATCGATCAGCTGCCTCCTGCACACCCCCTACTGGGGATGTGCCCGCAACCAAGGTACATGCCCTTGACCAGAATCGAACCTGGGACCCTTCAGTCTGCAGGCCGACGCTCTATCCACTCAGCCAAACTGGTTAGGGCCTTCTCACTTTTCATGTTCTTTTCTAGTTATATATTCTTTCACCAAATATCCACAATTTGTGATATGAAATGCATTTAGTTTGGTTAAAGAGGTTAATAAGCTAAATATAGGAGAAGATGTTCAGGAAGGTACCAGGATATATGTGGAGTTAGTTTTAAACTATATTTTACATGTTGTGTTTTTAAGGCTCTCAGTCTTTTGGGGGAAGAGTGGCGTTACTTTATAGGCTAGTGCCTACTTGGCATGACTAAAGTGGCTAGGAGAACTGAAGGAAATGGACTGGCTGAGTCAACAATGTATAACTGCTTCAGAATGGCTTGCCAAATGTCTTAGCTTTAATCAAAATATTTCAGAATTAACACCTACATTAGGTATCATGAAGAAGTTGGTTGAGTTCTGTATATGATACATCTGAAAATTCTTTTTAAAATATTGATATGACCTGGTAGAAAGACTTGAATATATCATAACATACATGTCACATGGTTTTAGACCCTTCTGTAATTTTCTCCATTCTCATTTATTATTTGTTATACCTAAGTGTAGATGGAGGTAAAGGTTGGTCCCAGTGGTGCCCAAATTCTTCACCCTTGTATTAGTTTCTATGACTGTGGTAATAAATTACCACAAACTAGGTGGCTTGAAACAGTGGAATCTCTTTTCTCTGAAGGTCAGAATTCTGAAATCAAGGTGTCTGCTTAGAAAAGTTCATTACTCAAAGTTCTAGGACTAATAGCCTCAAAGTCAGAATTCTGAAATCAAGGTGTCTGCAGGCTGTGCTCCCCCAGAGACCCTGGAGGGGAATCAGCTTCTGGTGCCTACTTGTGTTCTGCTCCCTCAGAGACCCTGAAGGGGAATCAGCTTCTGGTGCCTACTTGTGTTCTTTGGGTTGTGGCTGCATCCCTCTTGTCTTCATGACCAGAGTATTTAAGTTTCTCTTTGCTTTATCTTCATGTCACCTTCTGGGTGTGTGAAAGATCTTCCTCTGTTTCTCTCTTAAAAGAATGCTCTAATGCTGTCTTTAAATGCTTTAAATTTTTTAAAAATAAAACAAATGATGGGAAATCATTCTATTGTATTTTTTAGTCATCACACTTATCTCCACCATAGCTTTGTGCAAATATTTATCTGTTTCATCTTTTGTAAATATGACATATTAAAGAATTAGACTGGTAAGATTCATTTAGTCAGCAAAACTTAATTGAGCACCTATCATATGAGTCACATCATAGTTACTGCTGCATTACAGGGGGGGAAATTTATACATATGGTCCCTCCCTGCTATGAACGAGGGGTCATATGTACAAATGATTATAATACATGGTGAAGTGGGATGTATACCATAAAGTGCTATGGCATTTCAAAAAATGACAATTCAAGAAACCTCATGAATAATGGATCTCAAAGAATTTTAACAAATGGAGAAAAATGAAGAGATTATTGTTGGTATAAAAGAGGCATGTGAAAATTTGCAAAGGCATGCATGGCTCAGTTAATAGCAAATTGTTTACAATGGCCAGTGAGCATAAAAGTCAGAGCTAGTACTCTGGAGTCAGTGATGACAATTTTATATCGGCATTAAAAAAAGTAGAATTTACACTGTCAACTATGAGGTCAGGCAATAAAAAAAATATTTAAGTGACATGTTAAGACCTTTGCTTTAAAAAATAGAGCTGACAATAATGTGTTAGACTTCTAGCAGTCATTTTACAAACATTTAATCCTTGCAATTGAGCTCAGAGTTGGGTCACATTATTATCCCCATTTATAGATGAGGAACAGGCTTAGAAAAGTTCATTACTCAAAGTTCTAGGACTAATAGCCTCAAACCCTGATCTGCCTAACACTGAAGCCAGTGCTGTCATCACTCTGCTATTCTGGTTATATTGACAATTGCTGAAGGGGTGAGGAGAAGGTAGCAGGAGATAAAGACAGGAAAGGGTTACATGTTCTCCTTGTGCCGAGTCCTATAAGGGATGCAGATGACTCCTTCATTGCTTCCACTGATCTGTTATAAATGAACTAGAGGCCCGGTGCATGAAATCTTTCCGGGGGGGGAGGGGAGTCCCCCCTCAGCCCAGCCTGCACCCTCTCAGGGATCCCTCTTACAATCCAGGACCACTGGCTCCTAACTGCTCACCTGCCCGCCTGCCTAATTGCCCCTAACTGGCACCCTTGCCACCCTTAACCTCCTCTGCCTGCCAACCTGATTGCCCCTAACTGTTCCCCGCCCCCCCACTGGCCTGGTTGCCCCTCACTGCCCCCCTGCCGGCCTGGTCATCCCCAACTGCCTCCCCCTGACAGCCTGGTTGCCCCTAAACGCCCTCCCCTGCTGGCCTAAAAACCCCCTCCTGTCCTGGCCTCCCCATGCAGCCTGCTTGTTCAGTTGTTTGGTCGTCCCTCACTACCCCCCCTGCCAGCCTGGTCGCCCCTCGCAGCCTGCTGTTCAGTCATTGGTCGTCCCTCACTAACCCCCCTGCCCGCCTGGTCGCCCCTCGCAGCCTGCTGTTCAGCCATTGGTCGTCCCTCACTAACCCCCCTGCCAGCCTGGTCGCCCCTCGCAGCCTGCTATTCAGCCATTGGTCGTCCCTCACTAACCCCCCTGCCAGCCTGGTCGCCCCTCGCAGCCTGCTGTTCAGTCATTGGTCATCCCTCACTAACCCACCCTGCCAGCCTTGTCGCCCAACTCAGCCTGTGCCCCACTCAGCCTGTTCCCTGTTCGGCTGTCCGTTCAGTTGTTTTGGATGTGACGGCCCCTGGCTCTTTATATATATAGATTATGTAACAGATTTCTTCTGTTATTTATTCTGCACATTCTAAAGTCTTTCTCTGTGTATAGATTTTGTTAACAAGCACGGTTCTTCTTGTCAGTTCTTTGGGACCAAGTGCATTAAAGGTAATAGAGGCCACAGCATCAGTGAAACGGAAAGAACCTTCCCATAGCTCAACTCAATCAAAAGAAAAGAAGAAAAAGAAGTCTGCACTGGATGAAATCATGGAGGTACAGTTGATGAACTGCCCATTCACTCTCTAAAATATATATTTTATTGATTTTTTACAGAGAGGAAGGGAGAGGGATAGAGAGTTAGAAACATCGTTGAGAGAGAAACATTGATCAGCTGCCTCCTGAACACCCCCTACTGGGGATGTGCCTGCAACCAAGGTACATGCCCTTGACCAGAATCGAACCTGGGACCCTTCAGTTCGCAGGCCGACGCTCTATCGGATAGAGTCTATCCACTGAGGCAAACCGGTTAGAGCCCATTCACTCTTTAGCATTAGAGGAATGATGCAGTTTAGACCAAAGAAACTTAAATAGTTTCACCATTGTTAGGTTACTATAAAGTTAAAAAATGTGCACATGCTAGGTTAGGAAAAAGGACCCTAGATGCAGTTTCACTGGAATAGAATTAGAACTCCCCACAAGGTTTAGTTTCTTGTTGCAAGTGTTGTCTTCAGAACTCTCCATGCAACTATGGTCTGTGGAATTCAAAGAGAAGGACTTCGGTGGTAATGGAAGCTGGACGGGAAAGCTCTGTTACCCTTCTGTGGCTGTGAAATTGGCATCCTCCAAGGATTCCCCCACCAACCTTTGCTTTCCTGTTGTCTTAACTTCCACTTGTTGCCTATTAGCAAGCAAAAAGCTGTGACATACCTACTTTTAATTTGATTTAAACTGATGGCTAAGTTTATGTGATGAGCCATTGAAAACTTAATACTATCTGGATCTAGGGCCATACTTTTTGCCTGGATTCTAGAGCAATTCTGCAGAAAGTTCTTAATATACTCCTAAATATTCCTTTTTCCTTCTAACACATAACCGTACCTTTTCAATAAATGTATGAAATAAGTGGAAAAAGAAGGGGAAGAAAAAGAATAAATGGATACAAGAAGCAGATTTTTTCCTCTCTGTAATATCATTTCCTCTAGGCTCTCCATCCCTTTTCTTCATTTATGAAGGTCTAGGAGGTTACTCTTGGGTCTTCCCTGTTACTGTGTCCTCAGTATGAGGAACAGTCTGAAAAGCTTAAAGTATAGCATAAGATGTGTACACTCTGAGATGTCATCATTCCATCATTCAACAAATACTGAGTTGCTGTTCACTAGCTAGGCATTATGTGAAGTCCTGGGTCTGTAGAATAGGGATAAAAACCCACTATCTATGTGTCATGGAGCTTTCATTCTAGTGAGGGAGATATTCCATGAACAAGTGAGCAATAAATAAGTAATTACGTACAAAATACTAAGTCCTGAGGCGGTCTGAGCGGCAAGAGTAGGGAGAGAGCTTGTGCTATGGCAGGAAAGAGCTCTAAGTCAGTCATGGGAAGAAACGTCCCACATGGCTGCAGCTTGTGAACACAAGAGTAGTAGTCTTTGAGGTTAGAGGGAGAAGTAGTGGGAACACCAGAGAAGTATAGGCTATGACAGAGAATTTTTAAATTTAATTCAAAGGAAAAATAGAAAGCCAGATCTACCTGCTTTGAATATAATACATGCTAAATTTAGAATAATTTTTGTTTAAATTGGAAACTTGGAGGAATTAAAATGAGATTCATAATCAACCAAAGAAAACATTATTCAGTCCACTGAAAGTTGGTACTTAGGATTCTAACTTTAAGCAGTTGAGAAAGAAAAGGGCATGATATACTAGTAAAGCCATAATGGCTGGTAGGCCTTTGGTTCTTACTTTTTTTTTTAACTCTTTATTGTTTAAAGTATTATATAAGTCTCCTTTTTCCCCCATTGACCTCTTCCCAGCCGCCCCCACCCCCCCAGTACATGCACTCTCCC